ATCTCTTTTTGTGATGGAGCACCCACAACTTCTGGTGGCAAGCTGTTCCGTTGGTTAATTGTTCTCACTGTCAAGAAATTTCTCCTTATTTCTAGGTTGCTTCTCTCCTGGATTAGTTTCCATCCTTCGCTTCTTATCCTGCCTTCAGGTGCTTTGGAGAATAGGGGGACCCCCGTCTTCTTTGGGGCAGCCCCTCAAATATTTTCCACTCTGTCCCCTCCTGGCCGCCTTCTCTCCTTCTGTCCTGGACTTTTTTCTTTGTTTTTCTACAGGTCAAAATATGGAACCTTATCATCTTCTCTGCCAGTTATTCCAGGGGAAAGTTCTCTTTTGTCAATAACAACAAGAAGGGGGAAAAACAAACAGACACGGGAGTTCTTTTCCGGTACGCCCATGTCAAGGAGACCCCCAAGGTCACGCCAAAGGGCGACAATCGACACACAACCTACCCACAACTCCCCGATGCCTCCGCTCACATGTGCCTGAAAAATTGTTTTCCATTAAAAGCACATCTGTTGATACAAGGGGAATGAATGCGAGCACGATTGTTTCCACCTTGTGTTAGCAAAACACATTAGTGGAAAAACAAAGCCATCTGCCTTTGGAAAAAAGAGAGAGACAGAGCGACAGAGAAAGAAAGAAAGAGAGAGAGAGAAAGAGAGAGAGAGAGAGACAAACAACGTGATTTATTATTCATTATAACCAGGATTTAATTGACCGGGGGGAGGGGAGAGAAATCATTCTTTTGTACGAGGAAAGAGAAGAAGGGAGGAGGAGAGGAAACGCCTGGCTTGTTTGCATATATTTGGGCAGAAATTTTATTTTATTTATCAAACAAATTGATACAGCTGCCCAATTCGTGCGCAGGAAGGGAACAGCTGTTAACTGGAGCAGGATAATTTTTGTGCTCCATCACTGGAGGATTTTAAGAAGGGATTGGACGACCATTTGACCAGGAGGGTGTAAGATTTCCTGCTCAAGCAGAAGGTTGGACTAGATGACCTCCGTGGTGCCTTCCAGCCCGAGGATCCTGCGTTCCAATCTACCACGTGGAGGCTGAGTACACATCTGGACATTGGAGCCCAAATTGTTGCTGTTGATTGTGATGTTCCTGACCCAGGAGTCTTTGAGCTTCATTGCCAGGAGAAAATGCTTGAGGACTAGCAGCTTTGGAGGGCTTTTCAGTTTTGATCAATCAGATTTACAACCTTCAAACCAGATCCAGGGTCCTCTAGATTCCCAGGAGGACTAGCATCTTTGGAGGGCTGTTCAACTTGATCAATCAGACTTACGACCTTCAAACCAGATCCAGGTCCCTCTAGATTCCCAGAAAAAGACTCTTGAGGACTAGCCTCTTTGGAGTGCTTTTCAACTTAGACAATCAGACTTCTCACTTTCGAACTGCAGATTTTGCCATGTCCCAAAGTCTCTTGATCCCCTTTTTGACCTTCTCACCAGTCACGTCATTAACGAAGCCAGATTCACTTAACAACCGTGTTACTAACTTAACGACTGCAGTGATTCATTTAAGAACCGTGGCAAGAAAGACTGTAAAACGGGACAAAACCTCACTTAACAACGGTCTCGCTTAGCAACAAACGTTTGGGGCTCCATGGTGGTCGTAAGCCAAGAACTACCTGAATGCCATCCACTTCCGGAACTTTTATCAAATGTTTTTCCTGGTTTTTACCAGGGACATTAAGACCTACTGATTTCTCCCATCCGAGTTTAAATATATATATATATATATATATCTTATATTGCAGAGCAAAATTCATCACAAGAACTGGGAAAGTTTTTGGGTCGGGGATCTGTCCGTAACCCAAGATTGGCGTCAGAAAAAGAAAAGGGGGGGGGGGAGAGAAACAGATTAAGAAAAACTATGGAGGGAATTCACATTTAAGAGCCTTACACCAAAGTGTGCAAAGGCAAAATTGGAGACAAAAATCTATCTCGGTTAATGAGGGGCTGAAATATAATTAGTGTCTCTGCTGGGAAATTTTATTAAGTATATTAATTAGGGGAAAAAAGTTGCTTAGAAAAGAAAGGGAACGTATTTAGGGCTTGCTGTGAGACGTGCAATAAAACTCTGTGTGTGTGTGTGTTTGTGCCAAGTAGTCTTCGCTACAACCACCGTTCTTAAGTGAGACAGTTATTAAGTGAGTTTTGCCCCATTTTACCGCCTGTCTTTGCCACCGTTGTTAAGCGAATCCGTGAGTTGTTCACCCCTACACCCTTTCAGACAAATGGTTGTCCAACATCTTCTTGAAACATTTCCAGTGTTGGAGCATTCACAACTTCTGGTGGCAAGTCGTTCCACTGGTTAATTGTTCTAACTGTCGGGAAATTTCTCCTTAGTTCTAAGTTGCTTCTCATGTGACCATGTTTTTGATCATGTGACCATGGTCGTAAGTATGAAAAACGGCCATAAATCCTTTTTTTCCCCCAGTGCCATTGTAACTTCGAACGATCACTAAACGAATTGTCATAAGTCGAGGACCACCTGTACCTAAACCCATAAATAAATACATAAAGAAGCAAACAAATAAATAAATCAGACAGACAGAAAGGAAATAAATAAATGAATAAAAGCAGAGATGCCAAAATTAGCTTAGAAATATCAACAGAACAATTTCGGGTGCCAGGTTCAAAACCAGACTGCAGAACAGTTTGGATCCAGGGGGAACCAAATGGTGGGCAAGAAAATTGCCAGACAGAATTATTTCTCTGTGTTTGATCCAAACTCTGGGATGGAATACAAAAATAAATAAATAAATAAAAATTGGCGAGCCAGAAATGAAAAAGAAGAGACAAAAAAATTGCCCAACAGAAATGTCATTTTTGGGACGAAAAGAAGTGTAAATATCTCCAGGTTTTCTCTGTGGGAACCTCACCAATATCCCTTAGGGGAAAAAAACCAAAAAAACACATTTTTATAACGTTTTGGTGCTATTTAGAAAGGAAGTCCTCAAGTTACGAACACGGTGGAGTGCAAAATCGCCATGGCGAAGCCAGTTCAGTGAGTTTTGCCCCGTTTTATGACCTTCCTTCCCGCCGTTGTCAAGTGAGTCACACGGGCGTTAAATGAATCCGGCTTCCTCATCGACTCGCAAAAGGGGACACTGTGACCATCGTAAGTATGAGTCACTTGCCAGGGGTCCGAATTCTGACCACGGGGATGCTGCCACGGTCGTAAGTATGAAACATGACCCCTTTTTTTCAGTGCCGCTTGTAACTTTAAATGGTCACTACATGAATTGTTGTAAGTCAAGGGCTTTGCTGAAGTTTTCAGAAATAAAAGTGCATTTTGCTTTATTTATTATTTTTCCCCCCTTGAATCCTGCTGGGTTTGAAGGAGACATTTCACACACCCCCTTCCAAATGGTTATTTTAGCCTTATTTTCTTCGTATTTCTGTATTTTATGCTTCGATAAATATGAATAAAAACTTCGAAACCACCAGAAAAACCCAATATTTAAGGGCCTTCACCCAACCGTCCCTCTTCTTTCTCGATAGATAAGTAATTTAGTGTGTATTATGCCTCGGCCGCATTGATAAATAGGCTATAAAAATTCACAGGAGACCCCAGCTAAATCAATTTATTTCAATGCTTTTGACACCGTTGTGTTCCTGGCAGAGACTTTGAGTATCTCTGGTGTAATTTCCCACGGAGTGAAGTGGTGAGAGGATGGGCATAAATTACCCTTAAATGCCAGGCAGATAATGAGGCTACATTGGCACAAGAATTATGGACTACCCCCCCCCCACCTCTCTCTTCTGGCTTGGGTGGCACGAGTTGTCATTCTTGGAAATGACATAACCTTTGCGAAATGTTAAAAAAAAAATGCGCCTTGAAATTTACGGGCTGGGGAATCTAGAAGATCCTGGATCTGGTTTGGAGGTCATCAGTCCGATTGTCCCAATTGAAAAGCACTCCAAAGCTGCTAGTCCTCAAGAATTTTCTCCTGAGAATCTAATGGCCCTGGATCTGTCTTTTGAAGGACTTCAGTCTGGCTCTCCAAGTTGAACAGCCCTCCAAAAAGCTTTGGAGCGGGAGGAGGAAGAGGAAGAGTGGTAGAGAAGGAAGGGGAGGAGATGAGGAGAAGAGGATGGAGAAGAAGGTGAAGAAGGAAGGAAAACAGGAAGGAGAAAGGAGTGGAGGAGGAGGAGGAGGAAAGTGGTAGAGAAGGAAAAGGAGAGAAGGGAGTGGAGGAGGAGGAGGAGGGGAAGGAAGGAAGGAAGGAAGGAAGGAAGGAAGGAAGGAAGGAAGGAAGGAAGAAAGGAAGGAAGGAAGGAAGGAAGGAAGGGGGAAGAGGAGGAGGATTAGTGACCCTTGGGAATCCCTTCCTTCCTGCCTGCCTCTTTTCCTTTCTTTCCTTCATTCTTTCCTTCCTCCCGTCCTCCTTCCCTCCCTCACCACTTTTCCCTTCTACTTTCCCTCCCTCTTCTTTCTTTCTTTCTTTCTTTCTTTCTTTCCTTCCTTCCTTCCTCCCTCCTTCCCTCCCTCTCCACTTTTCCTTTCTACTTTTCCCTCCCTCCCTCTTCTTTCTTTCTCTTTCTGTTTCCCTCTCTTTTCTCCCTTCCCTTCCTTTCTCCAGCCCATATATCTGAATTTTGGCGCACTTCCTTCCATGGCCGCGCCAAGGCTGCTGATTCAGGACCAGAAACCGCTCGCTTCTCCCCCCCCCCCCCCCCCCCCCAAAATTTGGCCAAACGCCTCCCCAGGAACCCTCTCGGCCCAGCTGAGATCCAGAGAAATTTGGGGCCCGGGGCGAACAGCTGCAGCCTGACAAGGCAGAGACACTGCCAAGCAAACTACTCAAAACCATTAAAACAAAGAGGAAGCAACATGAAAAATAGCATCAGCCCTGCAGCAGGAAAAAAAAAAATATCTGATTTTTTTTCTGCCCACCTCCTCTGTCTTCCAGCGATGAACGATTGCAAAAATATTTCCAAGAAAGAAGAAAAATTGGGCAAAACATTCTCCAGGAACACAGCACGGCCCTCTTAAATTCTTTATTAAGTACAGATGGTCCTCGGTTTACGATCACAATGGCGCCCAAAATTCATGTTGCTCAGCGAGACATGTATCAAGCGAGTTTTGACCTGTTTTACGACCTTTTTCACCACGGTTGCTAAGCGAATCACGGCAGCTATTAAATTAGGAACATGGTTGGTAAGTGAACTTGGCTTCCCCCCTCCCCAATAAGTCCCTTTTTTTCCAGTGCTGTCGTAACTTCAAACGGTCACTAAACGAAACGGTTGTAAATCGAGGACTACCTGTATATAAATACATAAATAAAAACATACATAATTTTTAAATTTATATAAAATTTATAAAAGGGGCAAGGAAGGGTTGAGTCAACGACAGATTTGTAAGGAATGAAAAATCTGTTTGTGGGGGATTATAGCAGATTTATGGTGATTAATAACCCGTCGGACAGGCCAAGCGCCCGATTTTTCAGACTCGATGGAGGAGGAAGGCGAGATTAACTTCGGGCCTTCGCAAAATGTCTTAAAATTAAAATACACGGGGGAGGAGGGGGGGTGGAAACCAACCCCAGATTTATTTTTCGTCCCTGGCCAAAAACAACAACTTCACATCTCGCTAACAGCTGGTTCCCCAAGCTGTCGAGCGGGAAGCGGTGAAGATAGAAAAAAAGCAGAAAAGGACAGATAGCTGAACCCAAAGGAGATATTTCTCCAGGGGTATTTTTGGCAGCCTTAAAAAAATAAAAAAAAATGCTTCCTCATTTCTCAAAGAGATATGAAAATATCACAAGGACAGAGTTGGAAGGGACCTTGGAGGTCTTCTAGTCCAGCCCCTTACTCAGGCAGGAGACCTTCTACCATTCCATCCAATCTCTTTTTTAAAAAATCTTGGGTGCTTGGCAACTGACTCGTATTTAGAACTCACCATCTCCTGGTGATTGGCCCAAAGTCACCCAGTTGGCTTTCATGTCTAAAACAGGACTAGAACTCCCAGTCTCCTGATAATTGGCCCAAAGACACTCAGCTGTCTTTCATGGCTGAGGCAGGACTACAACTCCGCATCGCCTGGTGATTGGCTCAAAGACACTCAGCTGTCTTTCATGGCTGAGGCGAGACTAGAACTCCCCGTCTCCCGTTTTCCAGCCTGGAGCCTTAACCACTTCCACTTCTGAAAATAAATGAGGTGGCGAGAGGCTTTTTCACTCCTTTTTTTTTAAAATAATAAACACTTCCTAGAGGGACCATGCAACCCTTTCACCACCTTGATCGCACGCAGGATCAAAAAAATGCCACAAAAGGGGAAACCGAGGCAGAACGGAACGTCCCTTGCAAGTCCAGAGGGGCCCACTTTGCTCCCCTAATTCCACATGGCTTTAGAAAAGCAAACTTACCTTTTCCCCCTAAACCTCTGCCTAATCTTTTATTAAAAGCCCCCAGCACGACTCCTCCCTGCCTTGGAAAACTGGCAATAAATCAGAGGCGATCCTTACCAAAAGGTGCATCTTGACCTGGAGCAAATCCTCTTCTCTCGACTAAAGGTAGCTTGGCGGAAACATCTGTTGTCTTGCTGGTTCTCTCAGCTGGAAGGTTCCTCCACTGGACTTTTAAACTTCAGAAGAGCTCACGGGGGAGGCATTTGTCACTGGAAACGTTCCCTGTTGTTTTTAGCCAGCTATTAATTTTTTTTATCTCTCTCTCTCTCTCTCTCTCGCTGATTCGATACAGCAGGGTTGAAAATATCTCCTGCGGCGTTGAAAGGATGGTGAGCATCCCCATGGAGTTTGTAAATAAAAGCGTTGGAGATCCACGGTGGAGTTAAGGAACAAATATCTCCACTCGGTGACCGGTGCTGAATCAGCTCATTGGTTATGATTTTTTTAAAGTTAGAGGACAAAAGATTCTTTTTTTTAAAAAAAAAAGCATTATTCTAGGATACCTGGGAGATGCTCCTGGATCCAAAACAGTGGGTGACGGTTACAAGATTTGAGGAGTAAAAAATTCAGATTACGGCAAGATGACGATCAAAATTTAGACTGGAATATCTCAATCTTAGCCATTTTAAGAGGTGTGGATTTCATCCATTTTTTATTTTCATTTTCATTTTATTAAATTTGTATACCGCCCTACTCCCGAAGGACTCAGGGTGGTGAACAGGCACAAAATAAAACACATAAATACGAAAGTTAAAACATGATTAAAACCTAATTAAATAATTTTTGCATGCAAGGTGCCGAAGTCAGAGCACCTCAAATGTGATGTGATAGCAGTCTTCCAGGACTTGAGGGGCTGCCATAGAGAAGAGGGGGGCGGTCAACCTGTTCCCCAAAGCACCTGAAGGCAGGACAAGAAGCAACGGATGGAAAGATATCAAGGAGGAACCAACCTAGAACTAAAGAGAAGTTTCCTGACAGTGAGAACAATGAATCAATGGAACAAAATTGTGGATGCTCCATCACTGGAGGTCTTCAAGAAGAGATTGGACAACCATTTGTCCAGGATATTAGTGGGTCTCCTGCTCAAGCAGAGGATGGAATAGAAGACCTCTGAGGTCCCTTCCAACCCAATGCGTCTATGATTCTTCTAATACTTCCAATACTTGAGGGGCCGCCACCGAGAAGAAGGGGTCAACCTATTCTCCAAAGCCCCTGAAGGCAGGACAAGAAGCAACAGGTGGAAACTTAGCAAAGAGACAACCAACCTAGAGCTAAGGAGAAATTTCCTGACAGTGAGAACAATTAACAAGTGGAACTCCTTGCCACCAGATGTTGTGAGTGCTCCATCACTGGAGGTTTTCAAGAAGAGACTGGACAACCCTTTGTCCTGAATGATCTAGGAACTCCTGATTGAACTAGAAGACTTCCAAGGTCTCTTCCAACTCTCTTATTCTGTTAAGCTTCCATCACTGGCAGTTTTCAAGAAGACAATGGACAATGCTTTGACTGGGATGGTCGAGGGTCTCCCGCTTGAGCTGCGGGTTGGACTAGAAGACCTCCGAGGTCCCTCCCAGCTCTGTATTCTGGTCATCCCTGCTTTCCCAAGACTGCCTGCAGCTCCTTGTTGTAGCTGCTCCTCTCTCTCTCTCTCTCTCTGTTCAAACTCCAGCATTCATCAGCCCTTGTTAGAAAATGAATGCAATGTCTGAGCTGCTTAATTAACCAAAGGAAGCTGACAGCTACCGAAAGCCAGCACGGTGATGACAGATTGCTCCATATTAATCATGCATTATCATACGTGATGGCTGGGAGGCCGTTGTGTCTGATGAAGTTATGAGACCTGGGTGTTGGGTGTTTACATGTGTGGGTCTCCACGTAAAGCCCCCCCACACACACTAGTTCTGCTTCCCCTCTCAGTTGCTCCATCAAATATCTCCCTCAGCTTCCAAGCACTGCTTTTCCCAGGAGTTCCCAGGAGTCTCTGTTGCCATGGTGATCTTGGAATACATCAGTGTGGATTTCTCCCTGGGGTTTGCCTCTTGACAAGTTGGACTCGGGGTAGCTGTAATTTTCCAGCTGTCTCTGCATCCTTGATTGATCGAGCAGAGCTTCTGCATGGAACAAGCTACGGTTCTCAGCACAGCGTGCGGTGGGACGAGGAGATGTCACAGCCAGAGCTGGAGAGAGACACAACGGCAATAAACACTTTTGTTTTCCATGCTGGAGCTGAGTGTCCTCAAGGTGATTCACAGCCTTGTCAATATTCCAAGGTCTTCTCCACGCTCTGACCACCCTGTCTCCAGAAAACCAAATATCTACCCCCACAATCTCCTCCTGGGTGGGGCCATGCCATTGGAAGAAGATCCATGATGGAAAGTAGACTTCTTGGAAGAACGAGATGACCTTATTCTTGGTTGTTTTTTTCTTTATACCACCCTGGTGAGACCATACTGCATCCAGTTTTGGTCACCATGATACCAACAAAATGTTGAGACTCTGGAAAAAATGCAGAGAAGAGCCACAAACATGATTAGGAGACTGGAGGTTAAAACGTGTGAAGAATATTTGCAGGAATTGGGGATGTCTAGTCTAGTGAAAAGAAGAACTTGGGATGACACGACAGCAGTCTCCCAATATTTGAGGGTCTGTCCCAGAGAAGAGGGGGATTCCACCTATTCTCCAAAGCACCAGAAAGCAGGACAAGAGGTAATGGATTGAAACTTATCAAGGAGAAAAGCAACGTAGAAATAAGGAGAAATTTCCTAACTGTGAGGACGATCAACCAGAAGGAATAATTTGCCTTCAGAAGTTGTGGATGCTCTATCACTGGAGGTCTTCAAAAAGAGATTGGACAACCAAGCAGAAGACTCTATACTATTCTGGACAAATGGAAGTCCAATCTCTTCTTGAAGATCTCCAATGATGAAGAACCCACAACTTCTGGAGGCAAGCTTTCCATCCATCCGTCCATCCGTCCGTCATGTTTCTCTATCTATCTATCTATCTATCTATCTATCTATCTATCTATCTATCTATCTATCTCAGAACCATAAGGGCTGGAAGGGACCTTGGAGGTCTTCTAGTCCTGCCCCCTGCTCAAGCAGGAGACCCTCCTCAACCATTTCAGACCAATGGTTGTCCAATCTTTTCTAGAAAGCCTCACGTTTTCCAGAAGTCCTTCTTTGACTCTCAGAATTTGCTCCTTCTGATGTTGTCCTCATCGCCAAGAAAACCCACCAGATGGTCCCCGGGGCCGACTGTCTGACAGTGTTTTTTTTTTTCCACGGCGTAATATATCATCTGCCCTATCTTATCTCCTGCCTAGTCATGCCTCTAAATTATATCTGCTTCTATAAATAAAACCAGAATTCTCCTGCGAGGACGCCTCTAAATTAACAGGCATCCAGCGATAATTAAATCGGGTAGGAATTAAACATATATTTACTTTCTCGTCCAGGCCTTCCAGGGAGTAGCGAGCGCAAAGGAGACAAAAGGAGACAAAATATGAGTAAATGAAAAGAAAATAAAAATTCTCGTGTTGACATTTGTGCAACGCCCTTCTCAGCTGATAAGGAAATATGAGACTTCCATAAAACATAAAGGAACAAAGACGTCCTAATTAATCTTCCCAGGAAAGATGTAATTTCCTTATGCAAATTCTAATCGGAGTTTATTGCAAGGGTTTCGGAGGTCCTTCGTGCAAAAATTTCCTTCACCAGATCCATCCTGGGGCTGTCTGGAAGAAAACAGAACCTGCCGGAAGGTTCTAGAGAATTCTCTTCCTCCTTAACCAAGGCACAGAAATCAAGACACAGGTAATCCTTGATTTATGACCACAATCAGTACCTGAATTCTAAGCAAGGCGGTTGTTAAGTCAGTTGCACCTGATTTCACGACCTTCATGGCCACCATTGTTAAGCAAACCACGGCAGTCGTTTTATATGAATCACGAGGTCGTTAAGCGAATCTAGCTTCCAACCATTGAGATAGCTTGTTAGAAGGTAGCTCGGAAGATCGCAAATTGTGATCATGTGATCCCAGGATGCTGTCGTAAATACACACCGGATGGCCAGTGCCCAAATTTCAATCCTACAACGGTGGAGTTCTAAGTGCGAGGATCAGTCATAACTCAGTCGTGTAGGAGAACATGCTCAGATGATTCCTCATGATGTGGAACTTCCCGAACTTCCGGTAGACCCGTTTTTTGCCCTCCCTGAACCTCCGCAAGCACCCTGCACTTAGCTGCATCCAAAACAGGCCGCGTGGGGACTCCTGGGAGGGGAGGGGAGGGTCGAGCCAGGAGTGGGATTTGGGGGGTTCTCCGAACTGCACAGAATCTTAGCTAGAGGTTTTCCCGAACCCCCAGCGGCCCACCCCTCTTTAGGATCCTGGAAACGGACCCTCCACAGATCGGAGCCCCCGCTGTGCAGTCTGCCAAGACCCTCCCGGCCTCGATTCGCTCCTTCTATTTTCCTACAACCTCCTAATTCAATTTTCTTTACATCCTTTTTTTTTTTCCCCTTTCTTCTTCTTCTTCTTCTCCCGCATGGTCTATTTTTCAATTGGCACAAGAAATGGTTGTTAGCGGTGCAGAAGCATTATTCTGCTGCTATTGCAGAATAATGGATTTCCAAGATAAAGGATGACTTAAGTCACAGGCACACAACCCAATCGCCTGCTTTATAGTTCTGCAATTTTTCGGCTTGTCGGGCTGAGAAGCAGCCACGGGCTTGTCAAGCCATCCCGTGATGGAGTTTTCAGGAGACGTCAAATGCGTTTCCTGCTTCCTGTCTTTCGGGGTAGATCCCGAAACCAGCAAAACCTGAGGGCCCCAGGCTGATCTCCAGGGATCTCTGAGATCCATCACTGTAAATCCAGAGGATGGAGAAGACACACAATGTTATTCTGTGGAATAACTCGAAGGGACCTTGGAGGTCTTCTAGACCAACCCTCTGCTCAAGGCAGGAGATCCTACACCATCCCAGTGAAAAGGTTGTCCAAACTCTTCTTGAAGACCTCCAGTGACGTCTTTGAAGTCAACGCTAAATGCTGATTAAAAATCTGTATTTTTGCAGCAGGAGGACAACAATTTGTGTTGCTTAACCTTGGATGGCTTTTTCATGTACCAATTAGCACAAATGCTAAAACACGCCTCCGGCTAACACAAATAAGTCACCGTAAACAGCTGTACTCTCCAAGAACATCGTGTTGGAACAATTGTCTAGTTGCCCAAGAGTTACGTTACGGCTCATCCAATTTTTCCCCCCACTACCTATGGTCAGCTGAATGCAGGTGTTGCCTTCAACAATGATGGCAGAAAGAGGGACCCATTCCTAGGATTGATGGGGTCCAGTTAAAG